ATATATGGATTACAGACACCACGCCCACTAACACTAACAATGCCCATAGTCGCATCTGAAAACAAAATTATTTTTAAATTTTAATCTTAATGAACCTTTGTTACAGGTTGTTTATCTTGCAATTCATAATTTTTCTCTCCGTTTTATTGTTTTGTTGTTTCTTTCGATATTTCTCAGAAAAAATGCCAAGGATAAAAGATTAGCAGGTTGGAAATTCAGTAGGATGGAAAGGAGTAGGATGAAAAGGAGTTGGATGTAAAGGATGGGAAGGAGCAGGATGAAAAAGAGTAGGATGGAAAGGAGTAGGATGAAAAGGAGCAGGATGGAAAGGAGCAGGATGGAAAGGAGCAGGATGGAAAGGAGCAGGATGAAAAAGAGTAGGATGGAAAGGAGTAGGATGAAAAGGAGCAGGATGAAAAGGAGCAGGATGGAAAGGAGCAGGATGGAAAGGAGCAGGATGAAAAAGAGTAGNTGTATACCCGGAGTATACTATATGTATACCCGGAGTATACTATATGTATACCCGGAGTATACTATATGTATACCCAGAGTATACTTTATGTACACCCGAAGTATACTATATGTATACCCGGAGTATACAATATGAATACCCGGAGTATACTATATGTATACCCGGAGTAAACTATATGTACACCCGGAGAATACTATATGCATACCCAGAGTAAACTATATGTACATCCGGAGTATACTATATGCATACCCGGAGTAAACTATATGTATACCCGGAGTATAATATATGTATACCCGGAGTATACTATATGTATACCCGGAGTATACATATAGTACACCTGGAGTAATAAAACATACCGGAGCAACGTATAGAGAATAACCTTCCTAGGAAAATTCCGAGAAATGCAATTAAGCTGAAATGCATTTGTTGTATTTTAAGAAGAAAACATCTTTTCAAAATATGCATTTAGTGTGATTAAAACTAAGGTTTCCGAAGATACAAATCAATCAACTAATTTTAAGCTTAAATTTATTTAACCTTCAATTTTTCATTGCCAACATAAACTGAAAGGACTATGAAATACAAGAAGGAATATAATTAAAGAAAGGAATATAATTAAAGAAAGGAATACAGGACAAGAGAGGAATATGACTGGAAAGTTCTAGCATATAACTAGAAAGGAATACCGAACTGGAAAGGACTTAAGAACTTTAAGATAACTAGAGAGGAAAAACACTAGAAAGGAACTAAGCATGACTACTACACTAGAAAGGACTATAGAACTACGCATGACTACTGCACTAGAAAGGACTATAGAACTAAGCAGGACTACTGCACTAGAAAGGATTATAGAACTAAGCAGGACTACTGCACTAGAAAGGACTATAGAACTAAGCAGGACTACAGCACTAAAGGACTAAAGAACTAAGCAGGACTACTGCACTAGAAAGAACTAAAGAACTAAGCAGGACTACTGCACTAGAAAGGACTAAAGAACTAAGCAGGACTACTGCACTAGAAAGGACTATGGAACTACGCATGACTACTGCACTAGACAGGACTATAGAACTACGCATGATTACTGCACTAGAAAGGACTATAGAACTAAGCAGGACTACTGCACTAGAAAGGACTATAGAACTACGCATGACTACTGCACTAAAGGATTATAGAACTAAGCAGGACTACTGCACTAGAAAGAACTAAAGAACTAAGCAGGACTACTGGACTAGAAAGGACTATAGAACTACGCATGACTACTGCACTAAAGGACTATAGAAATACGCACGAATTCTGCACTAAAGGACTATAGAACTAAGCAGGACTACTGCACTAGAAAGGACTATAGAACTAAGCAGGACTACTGCACTAGAAAGGACTATAGAACTAAGCAGGACTACTGCACTAAAGGACTAAAGAACTAAGCAGGACTACTGCACTAGAAAGGACTATAGAACTACGCATGACTACTGCACTAAAGAACTATAGAACTAAGCAGGACTACTGCACTAGAAAGGACTATAGAACTACGCATGACTACTGCACTAAAGAACTATAGAACTAAGCAGGACTACTGCACTAGAAAGGACTATAGAACTACGCATGACTACTACAATAGAAAGGGTTATAGAACTAAGCAGGACTACTACAATAGAAAGGACTATAGAACTAAGCAGGACTACTACAATAGAAAGGACTATAGAACTAAGCATGACAAATACACTAGAAAGGATTAAAGAACTAAGCAGGACTATAGGACTAAAGGACTAAGCAGGACTACTGCACTAGAAAGGACTATAAAAAGCAGGACTAGTATAGTATTAGATAGAACTATCAAAATTAAGTATATCACTATTATCTTTAAGATGATCATTATCAATTATAAATTTAAACCCCCTCCTCATCCCCATGAGAAAATTGCAAATGTAAAATAATAATAAACGAGCATTTTTTGTTGGCAGTAAAATTGTAAAATATTGAAACAGTATTTATGGATAAGCCATATGGTTCAGAATATTTATATATTGTTTAGTTCCGGACAGGGTTTCCTAGCATTATAGAGCCGGAAACTTAAAATAGTATCATTTAACGAAACTGGAGTGTTTCGTTTTTGAGATATATACATTTGTAAAGATTTACATTAATAAATATAAAATAAAAAGATTAACCATGAAAATAATATTGCTTGCAATTTGTTTTTGATATCTACAAAAACTGCCTTTCCCTATTCATTAAACCCTGTTTCCGATACTGGGTTTTATGACGATACCCTGTCATAAGTTTTGGGCACTGGAGTGTAAACACACAGTAAAACATTGTTTGGTGAAAACAAAGTAAGGGTCTAAGCGCATCCGACTAAAATTTCGAAACTTTTCTTTATATGTTGAGCTTGACATTTAATGTACAAAATGTATGATTAAATATTTATGTTATATGTAATTTTTATCTTATTTTTATATTTTTTGACATTAATAATTTTTTTCAGCAAATGTTGTTATATTTGCAGTTGCTCAGAGCATTGTAACCTATGAACCTTAAAACCAAACAATGATAAGTTTAACAATTAAAACTAAATTAATCATGTTCTGCTTGTTCTGCAGGACTCCTTGACTCCTGGTAACAATAAGCTGAACCGAGAGATTAGATCTGGAAGGTTATTTCTAATATTTTTAAAACCGCAACACTTTACCGATATTAGCCTAGTTCAAATTTTCTCCGTTTACCAGGATAAATTCGAATTTAAACCATGTAAGTTATCTCGGCCTCGATATTTTTGAAGATTTTAATAACTACCAAATATTAAAATTTACCCAATTATAACACTTTAAACTAAAAACTAAAAAAGATATTGTGCTTTGCTCTAAATAAAGATATTTTGCTTTGCTCTAAATAAAGATATTGTGCTTTGCTCTAAATAAAGATCTTGTGCTTTGCTCTAAATAAAGAGCTTGTAGACAACATTTTTCTTCAATAACTAAATAATTAAAAAAATTCTTTTAAGTGTTACTTTTTTTTGAGTATTCTGTACTTTTTTATGAGTATTCTTTACTTATTGAGTATTCTTTATATATTTTAAGTATTCTTTACATATTTTGAGTATTCTTTACTTATTTTGAATTCGAGTATATTGTGCTTGAGTATTCTGTACTTATTTTGAGTATGCTGCACTTATTTTGTGCATGCTGTACTAACCTTGAGTATTCTCTACTTTTTTTGTGTATTTTTTACTTATTTTGAGTATTCTGTACTTATTTTGAGTATTCTGTACTTATTTTAAGTATTCTGTACTTATTTTAAGTATTCTGTACTTGTATTGAGTAATCTGAACTTAATTTGAGTATTCTGTACTTAATTTGAGTATTCTGTACTTATTTTAAGTATTCTGTACTTATTTAGTCTAATTCATATCTGATATGATGGAAAAACATCAATTTAGTTCAAGGATTTTAAGGTTGTCTAATATATCTCCCCTTAGTACACTTTACACACTCAATACCCCTTCCCAAATTCGTAGATAATCCTATAACCACCTAACAGGCACCATTAACTACTAGTAGGCGCCATATACACAAGAAGTAGGCCTGGCTATTAATGTTAGGCGCCACACGCACTAAATAGGCGCCATTCACAACATTGAGGCGCCATTTAGCGAGATAACATTGAATCCGTCTTTGCACCACTAAACTTTTTGTCTTTTTTTTTTGAGAAAAACTTGTAATTTTTTTTCTATCACTAGAGTTGAGTTTAGTTTGAATATAGGATTGAAGTATACATGTATATATCCTGGTTGTATCCAAGGAACTGGAGCTAGTGGTTGGATTAGTCCGGAGCGGAGCGGACCCGTCCCACTGGAAGCCAAAACCAAACTAAACTTCAGGGGATATCTGAAGAAAGATAGCTGTGACTAGGAGAACCTTGAAACTTGTTCACTGTTGATGTATTTACAGTTAATAGACCCCCCCCCCCCCCCCCCCCTCCCTTCAGACTTTACAAAGAAGAAAGGTTGATTAATTGGGAATTTGAGAGATCTCTACTCTGACATCATTGCACGAGTGTAAGATGTTGCCGAAAAAAGGATAGAGAACAGAGGAAAATCTAAATGTCATCTCTCCAGACCCGGGTTCAGATCTCCTTGGGTTCTCCAGATCCCTGCAGAGACAGTACAGACACCAAACAACGCCCAAGATTGTGAATAATTGGGAACTATTTGCGTCCAGGCGTCTCATTATGCTACAGTTCACTGACATACTTACTTGGCGTCTACGTTGCCCTACCCTACGCTATTTTAAACTTATTGTTAGATCTTTTAAACAATATTAACAAAAGTATTTGTCCAGAAAATATTGTCAAGTTCACATAGTTTTTTACGGAACGAGAAGTCACTGCCAATTAATTGCATCTAACTGATTTTTCCCTTGTTCCCGTATTTACGTTTCCTTTCGCGTTCAACCCGTTCTTCTCCTTCAACCCGTTCTTTTTCTTCAACCCGTCCTTCTCCTTCAACCCGAACTTCTCATGCAACCCATCCTTCTCATTCAACTCATCATTCTCCTTCCACCCGTCCCTCTCATGTAACCCGTCCCTCTCATGTAACCCGTCCCTCTCATGCAACCCATCCTTCTCATGCAACTCATTATTCTCCTTCAACCCATCCTTTTCCTTCAACCCGTCCCTCACAAGCAACCCGTCCCTCTAATGCAACCCATCCTTCTCCTTCAACCCGTCCCTCTCAAGCAACCCATCCCTCTAATGCAACCCGTCCTTCTTTGTGCAATTCATCCTGCTCATGCAACCCGTCCTTCTTAGGCAACCCGTCCCTCTCATGCAACCCATTCTTCTCATGCAACCCGTTCTTCTCATGCAATTTATCCTGCTCATGGAACCCGTCCTACTTAGGCAACCCGTCCTTCTCATGCAACCATTCCTTTTCATGCAATTAATTCTTCTCATGCAACTCATTCTTCTCATGCAACTCATTTTTCTCATGCAACTCATCCTTCTCATGCAACCCGTCCTTCTCAGTCAACCCGTCCTTCTCATGCCATTAATCCTTCTCATGCATCTCAATCTTCTCTTGCAACCCATTCTCCTAATGCAAACCGTCTTCCTCATACAATTCAACTTGCTCATGTAACCCGTCCTTCTCAGGCAACCAATCCTTTTCAGGCAACCCATCCTTTTCGTGCAACCCGTCCTTCTCATGCAGCCCGTCCTTCTCATGCAATACGTCCTTCTCATGCAAACCGTCCTTCTCATGCAAACCGTCCTTCTCATGCAAACCGTCCTTCTCATGCAAACCGTCCTTCCCATGCAAACCGTTCTTCTCATGCAACCCGTCCTTCTCATGTAACCCATCCTGCTCATGCAAGCCGTCCTTCTTAGGTAAACCATCATTCAAATGCAACCCATTCATTTCATGCAACCCGTCCTTCTCATGCAACCCATACTGCTCAGGCAACCCGTCCTTATCATGAAACCCGTCTTTCTCATTAACCAATCCTGCACCCACCCACATCTCATACATCTCATATTATTAGAATTGTTGCCATGATCCTGGCTTTGCTGGAAAAAGGTCAATAGGTTGTTTATGAGATAAATACTACTCTATACCTTGTTGAATTTTTTAGTCTGGGGTTTGAACTGTAGGTATATTCCTTGAGAACGATTTTTGAGGAGCAGGATGGAAAGGAGCANGTTTGAATTTAAATTGGCCCTAGTTCACCGTGATACTTCTTCGAGTGGTGCTGAAAGACATGCCCTTTTTTGCTGCTGCTGCTATTTTACAGTGAAACAAGAATTTCGGATCTTACAGAAAGTGTCTTAACCTAACCTAACCCTAAATAAATACTATAAAGTGGTCATGTACAAAATTGATAGGAAGGAGCGGGGGGGGAGGAAGGGTTCCAAAAATCGTTCTCTCAGACGGACCCGCACTGTACAAAGAAACATTTCCAAACGATGCCGGACAGGACGGGGGGGGGGATAGTCCGGAAAAATTTAAAAGTTTTTATCAAACAAATGGACACTAAAGAGGGATTTCGAATTCTTCACTGTTTATAACCAACTGATGCGTTTGTTTATTTAATTTTTAGTGTACGTTTATGTACACAGAAATATATGAAGTACAATCTCAGGGGCACAGTCCTATGTATACAAAGATGCAATTAAACACAGAGCGGGGGGGGGGTAGGTTGCTGTCTTATGAAAAATTAATTCTATAATCCTGCTAAATAGAGGCGTTTACAGGAATATGTCCAAGGGGGCTTATATTTTTTTCAGGGGAGAGGGGGGCTCAGAACCCCTTGGGGCCTGGAAACCCCCGTAAAATTACAGGTTTCTCTGATCCAGGGGGCGTAGAGGCCGTAGCCTCTATGGACCCCATATACACACCTCTGATGCTAAATATAATTCTGTGAGTGTCTCAGCATAAACTTGTACCATAAATTGTATCATAAATAACCCCAGATTCGATCATTTCTTATATACAGAGCGCCCCACATTGAGGTTTTGCTCGTCATAACAAACCTAAACCGGTTCTAGTGTTGCATGATCTGAACCAGTACAAGAATCCTAGTCTAGTCTTTAGTTGTACCAGCCCGCCTAGTGTACCCAACTACCCAGCACGTGGTTGACTTGACCCAATGTGTTTCCAGAAACAAACGACGGCAGAATGATCCAGTGTGTAAACCTACTTTACAACATTTTAAAAATGACGAACATTTTGTCCAAAATAACGAACAGAATGTTGCGGATATATCACGAATGTTTACATAATTGTTCATAATAAAATTTCAGCTATTTTTCGAGAATTAAAATTATCTCAGGATTAGTCCAGGGATTAAGATTAAAATCAGATAATCAAGGATATTTAAATGATCTTTGGATTACTCAAAGGATTAAAGATAGGATTAAATAATAAAAAAATCAAATGATCTCCAGATTATTCCAAGGATCACGAATACAATTAGACGATTAAGGATTTAAAAGATAAGGATTACTCCAAGGATTAAGAAGAATTGATGAGAAGTCTAATTGTTCTCTAGGTGTGTAATTCTAAACTTCAGGATCCCAGCAAAATATATTTAAAGGTTGAAAAGTTCAACAATGCAGGCAATAGAATTTTTTCTTTTTAGAAGATGACGAATCAAAACTTAGTTTGCATTCAGTACTCAGCTCAACAGTTGTTAGCATTCCAGCATTCCAGGCTTGTAGATACTGAAAATATAGCATGCCAAGATTATTTAGCATGCTAGGGTTATAGATAATGAAAAGACAGAATGCCAAGATTATTTGGCATGCTAGGGTTGTAGATAATGAAAAGATAGAATGCCAAAATTATTTAGCATGCTAGGGTTGTAGATAATGAAAAGACAGAATGCCATGATTAATCAGCATGCTAGGGTTGTAGATAATGAAAAGATAGCATGCCCTGATTATTTAGCATGCTAGGGTTGTAGATAATGAAAAGATAGAATGCCAGGATTATTTAGCATGCTAGGGTTGTAAATAATGAAAAAATAGCATGTCAAGATTATTTAGCATGCTAGGGTTATAGATAATGAAAATATAGCATGTCAAGATTATTTAGCATGCTAGGGTTATAGATAATGAAAATATAGCATGTCAAGATTATTTAGCATGCTAGGGTTATAGATAATGAAAATATAGCATGCTAAGATTATTTAGCATTCTAGGGTTGTATATAATGAACAGATAGCAAACCATGATCACTAAGAATGCTAGGGTTGTAGATAATGAAAAGATAGATAGCATGCCAAGATTATTTAGCATGGTAGGGTTATAGAAAATGAAAATATAGCATGATAAGATTATTTAGCATGCTAGGGTTATAGATAATACAAAGATAGCATGCCATGATTACTCAGCATGCTAGGGTTGTAGATAATGAAAAGATAAAATGACATGATTAATCAGCATGCTAGGGTTGTAGATAATACAAAGATAGCATGCCATGATTAATCAACATGATAGGGTTATAGATAATACAAAGACAGCATGCCATGATTAATCAGCATGCTAGGGTTTTAGATAATGAAAAGATAGCATGCTATGATTACTTAGCATTCCAGGATTTTAGATGATTTGAGGAAAGAACGCAAAGAAAAATGAGCATGCCAAGAATTTACAAAGAATCTTGAGCATGCCAAGAATGTAGATCATTTGAAGTCAGCATGCTAAGGATGCAATTCATCATGCCAAGAATAAAAGGATATTGTTTAGCATGCCAACTTTAGCGAGTGTATATTTCAGCATGTCAAGGGCAACGAGGATATAGTTCAGCATGCCAACGGTAATCAGGATGCCAAGTAGCATGTCAGGGCTAATCAGAGTACATTTTAACATGCCAAAGCGCTAGGTAGTCAGGTTATATTTGAGCATGCCAATTGTAGTCTGAATATAGTTCAGCATTCCATGAATAATCGTGATATAGCATGATAACAAGTAAGAATGAAGTTGAAATTGAAAGGTTTTCAAAATAAAAGAACTGCTTCAAATGTTATAAATCTATAAAGATGATATTTGAAGAAACCTGATCACGACAATTCAATTCAATTCTGCAAGATATCTCACGACTATAAACTAATTATAATTATTGCTGGGGAATACTAAGCTGCAAGTTTAAAAGTCCAATTCAGTTTTGATCCGGACTTGATCTTAGTAAATGCTGGGATCTTCCCTGGATTCCAGAACCGGTTCAAGATAAAACGGGCCTGGTTTCAAGTGACCTTCCATTTAAAGTAGAGCATCCCGATTAAGAACGAAGAATGTCGTACAAATCACTATAAGCATTTATTTAAAAGACAAATATTACATTTAACTGACTTGAGAACTAGTGTTATTGTAAACAAAAGCAAAGATTAGAAATGAGGATCAGATACAATAAACTAAGCTACAGGGTAGGTAAAATAAGCCTATGACAGGCCGGGTACTGTAAAAAGTCTGGCCGCACCATCAAAGTTGAAACTGGGTTGACAAAGGATGGGGGCGGGGCAGTACTTGTCGCACTTCACTATGGGCCGGTACAAGGGGTCGGGCCGGTACAAGGGGTCGGGCCGGTTTGAATTTAAATTGGCCCTAGTTCACCGTGATACTTCTTCGAGTGGTGCTGAAAGACATGCCCTTTTTTGCTGCTGCTGCTATTTTACAGTGAAACAAGTATTTCAAAATTAATTAAGATATTATTAATTTAACAAAGTTATTATTCTAATAGCTATCAAAGACAGTTTAAATGTCGTCATTTGATTCCCAATATTCCATGTTTATTGAAACACCTTGGACAAGCTTTTCATATATATTTCTATCTTTGAGTTTAAAGCTCCTTGATGAAAAACCTGTATTTTAATTTTTCTAATCCATGATCAAGGATGTTTGGAAGTTTTCTTATTACTTATCTTAATTCAATCTTATACCCTTTTTTAAAGCTTTTAAATCTGTTTTAAAATAGTTGCAATTGCATTTTGTAACATTGCTTAGTTACGGGGGCCCAGGGGGGGGGGGAGGTCTAGTTTTTAAACTATGAAAATTTATTGGTCTTAAGTATGTTCAATAAAATCAATTATTTTGTTTTGGTTAGTGATATAAGTTTTGTCAAAGATATTTAGTTAACGGCGGTTACCGATAAACAGCGGCTAAAGATTAACGGCGGTTAAAGATAAACAGCGGCTAAAGATTAACGGCGGTTAAACATAAACAGCGGCTAAAGATTAACGGCGGTTAATCCCAACGGTAACTGAAAACCGTTATTTGATCAATAATATGGAAAACATCTCATTTTCCTACCTTGAAAATTATTTAATTCTGATAACTTCTTTATTGTTTCTTTCAGCGGAAATACCCAAGTCACTTGAATAAAGAAATAACAATTGAAAATAATGAGTATTTTAATTTTTTTCAGACTCTCGACAATGCAGTTAATATTGAAGCTGGTAAGAATTTAATCTTAAAACAAGTTTGGTTTTATTCATTTTCAAGGATGTAGATTGATACAGTCGTCGGCGATTATATTAATACAATGAATGCGACTCTTCTATTTAAGTTAATTTTTTTCAAAATAATAAGTAAAAAAAGAGAACCTGTTATTTGACAGCTCCTCTATGTATCCATGCTGTTTGAAAGCTTGGTAAAAATCAAATTTGAAATCAAAAGTCGTCTTCATTGCATTCAGCTTCACGACGACGACTGTAGTTTAAAAGAAGATTTTTTTTTGGATTTGCAATAATCTAATTAAATATTCGATGATACACCTTGCATCAGTGGGGTACGGTTCCAATAGAAGATATATTGTTTAGATAATGTTGTTTTATAAATTCTCTTTTGCTCGGCTACTTCAAACCTAGAATATGGTGGGGGGGGGGGGGGATTTTACCCCCATCCCCTAGAAATCCTGTCCAAATGTGACAATAATATCTACCTTATAAAAACTGTAAGAGTCTGTTTCTGGAATCTGAAAAATATTAGTATTTTCAACACAATATGCAAAATATTCAAATTATGTATTTAAAAACGAAAACTTTAATCATTGTCTTTTTAGGCTTTTGTTCTTTGTTTTGGTTTTTGTAGAGGGGAAGTGAAATTTGAAGACTGTGGTAATTACTTTATACATTATATTTGAAGACTGTGGTAATTACTTTATACAATATATTTGAAGACTGTGGTAATTACTTTATACGTTATATTTGAAGACTGCGGTAATTACTTTATACATTATATTTGAAGACTGTGGTAATTACTTTATACATTATATTTGAACACTGTGGTAATTACTTTATATACATTATATTTGAAGACTGCGGTAATTACTTTATACATTATATCTGAAGACTATGGTAATTACTTTATATACATTATATTTGAAGACTGTGGTAATTACTTTATAGACATTATATTTGAAGACTGTGGTAATTACTTTCTATTACATTATATTTAAAGACTGTGGTGATTACTTTACACATTACATCTGAAACTGTGGTAATTACTTTATACATTATATTTGAAGACTGCGGTAATTACTTTATACATTATATCTGAAGACTAAGGTAATTACTTTATAGACATTATATTTGAAGACTGTGGTAATTACTTTATACATTATATTTGAAGACTGTGGTAATTACTTTATACATTATATTTAAAGACTGTGGTGATTACGTTATACATTATATTTGAAGACTGTGGTAATTACTTTATACATTATATTTAAAGACTGTGGTGATTACGTTATACATTACATCTGAAAATGTGGTAATTACTTTATACATTATATCTGAAGACTGCGGTAATTACTTTATACATTATATCTGAAGACTATGGTAATTACTTTATAGACATTATATTTAAAGACTGTGGTAATTACTTTATATACATTATATTTAAAGACTGTGGTGATTACTTTATACATTACATCTGAAACTGTGGTAATTACTTTATACATTATATTTGAAGACTGTGGTAATTACTTTATACATTATATTTGAAGACTGTGGTAATTACTTTATACAATATATTTGAAGACTGTGGTAATTATTTTATACATTATATTTGAAGGCTGTGGTAATTACTTTATACATTATATTTGAAGACTGTGGTAATTACTTTATACAATATATTTGAAGACTGTGGTAGTTACTTTATACAATATTTTTTAATCAAAACAATCCTATCTTTATAATAAACCAAGACATCGTATATATGTACCCATAGCCGGCCAAACGGCGCGGACCGAATGGGCTGAAATTTTTTGAGATCCCGGGGGCCCGGTTAACATAAGGGTAAAAAATATAAAAATCTTTTTTTCAAATATTTTGTTGTTTTTTCAAAAAAAAATCTTTTTTTAAAATATTTTTTAGTTAGATTTTTTAAAATTCCACGGACAACGCCGGGAACTTCAGCTAGTCTTTCATAAATAATCATTCAAAACCTTCTTAAATAGCTTCGGTTTCTTTCGATGGAATCTTTTCTGGCCTATTATTACACATTCACATTAAAGAGGCCTCACAAAAACCGATCTGAGGTGTGGACCACAATTCAAAATTGTAAACTCTGTAAACACAATTTTTAACTCTTGTATAATATATCTAACAAAAAAAATTGATCAAATTGTTTTTGTAAATCGTCTTGATAAATTCTGTTGATAAAATCGGTTTTCCCATTAAATTCTTAAACTTGTATAGCCTACAATAAAGAAAAGTCTCAGATTCTTCTATGAGCCTCTTAAAAGTAAAAAATGACTATTTGAAAACAAAGCTAAAAAAAATAATTTTCATTCGATAAACTTCATCCAAATTCATCCAGAAGTCTATTTCAGCCGACGTGTTTCCTTAAAAAATAATGATGTGAATTGTGAACAATGCTGTCAATGCATTTTTGATAACTGCCCTATCATCAGTATTTTTGTCTGCAAAACTGCAAAATAAATACACGTGTTTACTGTACAGTGCAGTAAACGTTATTGTTGCTGGGAGCGGGGCCTGTATAATATTCAAACCTGAAATGCCCTGAACATTTTCGTAATTTGTAGCTTTTGAAAAGTGCCATTGAGTGTTCAGAGATTTACGATGGCATTTTCAAATTCTAAAATCTTTAGCGGGATTTATAATCGAAAAAAAAAGATGGCCATTATTCCATTTTTTATCCAAATTACTGCTGTAAATAAAGAAAAGAGGCAAGTTTATATGACAAAAAAAGTATTAACCAATTTAACTTCATCTCTTGTTAACTATTTTCCATAAATAATTTTAGCTTTTAACTGATGCTCTGATTTTTCTATTTCAATTAGCGCAATTTCAAAATTGATAAATGTCGACATTTTTTTCTAGGCAAAAGAACCTGTAAAATCTTTCCCTGGGATATTTAGAAAGATTAAAATTTCCCCGTATGATACTTGAAGGACTGCAGTTTGGTTATCTTACTGAAGGGAAATTTTCATCATTCTAAACATCCCAGGGAAAGATTTTACAGTTTTTTTTTTAACTTTGACGGTCCACAACCCTTCCGTTGGGTCATGTGAGTTGCTAAAAAAAAGTTTGGCACGATTGGTTTTGACGTTTATCGGATACAAACGGACAGTCCGACAAGTATAAAAGTAAATACTATTAATTATTTAGATGCAAATATCTAAACCTGAACAATGCCCAGTTCTCACACAATAATCTATTTGTTTAAAGGAACTGTAAGCGATATTTAAAGTGATCCTCCATGCAAAGATGTCAATGCCCGATTCATAACTATACCCATAAAAGTTTTGTCTGATCAGGTTTGTAGATATCAACGTTTAAAATTGTGAAAACTAATCATTTTCAACCAATTGGTTTCTCTTCTAGTGGCTTCTACATTTACTGCAGGAAACATATAGAAGTTATCACGATTAAACAATTTGAAATTTAGAAAAGGGATCAATATGCTTTCTAAATTATTGATCAGCTAAAGGCCTTCAGGGTACCTTTGTAAATCGGGCATTGCCTTCTTTGCATATAAGATCGCATAAAATTACACGTACAGTCTCTTTAAAAGGACTATTTGCATTTTTTTCTAGCAGGGTTTATCATTGGATATCTTGGCTCCACAGTTCTTAAAAATGCTTTCATTTTCTTTAAATATTTTTTCCTCGAAACGGACGAATTATTAGAACACAAATGCGGAGTTACCCGCAAAGGATGAGACTGGAAAAAACGACCTAATATTTAGATAATATTACGATCCCAAGGTTTAATTAAGGGGAGTGTTCGCGAAAAATGAATGGTGTATATGCTTAAGGCGAAAAATAAGCGCTATTGATCGCTAATCTTACTTCTATCTGTCTATAAGGAGAAAATTGGTAAAAACGACTCACACCGAAGAACGTAGCGTCCATACAGAAAAGTGCAACATTTGACTCGGATCGTAAACAAATCAATTTAATTCCAAACAAATCATTTAGATATTAAAAACAATAGTCATCAATTTTTTTCGACACATTCGTATATAGTTGATATTTCATAATATTTTGTATTTTTCATTATCTGAGAGTTTCTTTTAAAAACATTTAATCCTGCTTCGAGGATTTTTGATAACGAAGATGACATTTTCATTTCGAAAATCCAGCGCCAGTGAAATATTATTTAAAAAACTAAAGCAAAAATATTATGAAATATTAATTATATATGATTGCGTCGTAAAATAATCTATGACTATTGTTTGTAATTTCTGAATGATTTGTTTGGAATTAAATTGATTATTTTATGATCCGAGTTGAATGTTGCAACTTTCTCAATTTGTATGGACGCGACGTTCTTTGATGTGAGTCGTTTTTAACAATTTTCTTCTTATAGACGCAACAGATAGAAGTAAGATTAGTAGCAATCAAAAGTGCTTATTTTTCGCCGTAAACTGTTGCGGCTAATTATGAATATAAGGGAACAAACAACATAAAATCCGTAGAGTCGTCTCTGAAGTCTCATTCTTTGTGAATAACCCTGTAAATTCTCTAAACTGCAGCTTTAGTATAAGGTGAGTTCAAGAATAAGTTGTTGTTCTAGGTTCGTAACTTTTGTACACATTTACCTTATTTTAAACCAATTATCTTTCTGCTTCTATCTTTGCATAAATCTTAAGTTTAATTATCTCTGTATATATGGTCAAGTGTTGGCAAGCTTTTATAAACTGTTCGTATTAGGGTATCACACAAAGATTGAAATATATTTCTTACAAAATCTACTAGTATCAGTAGGTGGAGTAGGAGTTCCTAGCATCAGTGGTGGAGTAGGAATTCCTAGTATCAGTGGTTGAGAAGGAGTTCCTTTTATCAGTACGTGGGGTAGGAAGTAGGAGATCTTATCAACAGTAGGTGGAGTAGGAGATCTTAGTATCAGTAGGTGGAGTACGAGTCCTAGTAACAGTAGGTGGAGTAGAAATAGATGGAATGGGAAGTTTATATCTACCAGGCAGTTATGCATAGAATACAAGTAGATCTGGTTTTCTTATGTCACAATAAAAGTGCTTGACCTTTTCTTAGATATGCATTCTTAAGCCTGGCTTTATACATAATTATATAAGGAAATACAATGATTACACACTATATACACACATTTTTAGTAATGGTTCAAATTGTGATATTTTAATATACATGTACATTATTTAAACATATTTATTTTAAGAAGAAAAATATAAACTGTGAACTATTCTACTATATGGTTTTTACAACTTTATATTGGAGTTTTTTAAAGACATTTAGATACTTTATGGGTGTATCTATAAAGATCTAGTAGGACGGATGTATAGCTAAATACTCCTTGAACTCCGTGTATATTTAGGAGCTAGCGGGACGGATATTAAGTTAAATACTCCGTATACTATGTATATTTAGGATCTAGCGGGACGGATATTAAGTTAAATACTCCGTGAACTCCGTGTATATTTAGGATCTAGCGGGACGGATATTAAGTTAAATACTCTGTGTACTATGTATATTTAGGATCTAGCGGGACGGATATTAAGTTAAATACTCCGTGTACTATGTATATTTAGGATCTAGCGGGACGGATATTTAGTTAAATACTCCGTGTACTATGTATATTTAGGATCTAGCGGGACGGATATTAAGTTAAATACTCCGTGTACTATGTATATTTAGGATTTAGCGGGACGGATATTAAGTTAAATACTCCGTGTATACTATGTATATGTAGGATCTAGTGGGACGGATATTAAGTTAAATACTCCGTGTACTATGTATATTTAGGATCTAGCGGGACGGATATTAAGTTAAATACTCCGTGTACTATGTATATTTAGGATCTAGTGGGACGGATATTAAGTTAAATACTCCGTGTATACTATGTATATGTAGGATCTAGTGGGACGGATATTAAGTTAAATACTCCGTGTACTATGTATATTTAGGATCTAGTGGGACGGATATTAAGTTCTCCTGCTCTGAAGGGTGTTCTGGAGATATCAAATACTCCGTGTACTATGTATATGTAGGGGACGGATATTAAGTTAAATACTCCGTGTACTATGTATATTTAGGATCTAGTGGGACGGATATTAAGTTCTCCTGCTCTGAAGGGTGTTCTGGAGATATCAAATACTCCGTGTACTATGTATATGTAGGATCTAGCGGGACGGATATTAAGTTAAATACTCTGTGTACTATATGTATATTTAGGATCTAGCGGGACGGATATTAAGTTAAATACTCCGTATACTATATGTATATTAAGGATCTAGCGGGACGGATATTAAGTTAAATACTCCATGTACTATGTATATTTAGGATCTAGTGGGACGGATATTAAGTTCTCCTGCTCTGAAGGGTGTTCTGGAGATATCAAATACTTCGTGTACTATGTATGTTTAGGATCTAGCGGGACGGATATTAAGTTAAATACTCCGTGTACTATATGTATATTTAGGATCTAGTGGGACGGTTATTAAGTTCTCCTGCTCTGAAGGGTGTTCTGGAGATATCAAATACTCTGTGTACTATGTATGTTTAGGATCTAGCGGGACGGATATTAAGTTAAATACTCCGTGTACTATATGTATATTTAGGATCTAGTGGGACGGTTATTAAGTTCTCCTGCTCTGAAGGGTGTTCTGGAGATATCAAATACTTCGTGTACTATGTATGTTTAGGATCTAGCGGGACGGATATTAAGTTAAATACTCCGTGTACTATGTATATTTAGGATCTAGCGGGACGGATATTAAGTTAAATACTCCGTGTACTATGTATATTTAGGATTTAGCGGGACGGATATTAAGTTAAATACTCCGTGTATACTATGTATATTTAGGATCTAGCGGGACGGATATTAAGTTCTCCTGCTCTGAAGGGTGTTCTGGAGATATCCTAGAGTTAACTAAAGGAAAAACTACCAGCTTTAACCTAGGATTCAAATCAGGTAAGATGTGAAAACATTTAATATTTGTGTAAACGAACATTTTATGGCTTTTAATCCTAATATTTATGTTTTAAACTGAATGAAACCTAGACAATTTTATTTGTCAAATGATAAATACCCGAAAATATTTCTTCTAGCTTTTTTACTAGCTATTCGTGGACTTAAATGCCATACTCTAAAAGAATTATTTTGCACGAGATATAACTCCAGTTTATTAACTTCCTCATATATTTACAGGAGAGGACTCAGCTACCCTTACAAATAATATTGTTGGTAATCAAGTTTATACAGGGTGTCCCAATAAACATGGGAATTCAGTGACGAATTCGATTTAGTCTTTGTTATGAATTAGGAAAAGCTTTGTCTGTTCAAGTTTATATTTATCTAAATTTACTTTTTTATTACGAACTTTCTCATCTTTTTCTCTTGTATAATCAGCATGCACTCAAGAATAATAATATTTGTAAAGGAATTAAAATGTCTATCTAAATCTCCTTTTTTTGGAAAAATTTTCAATTTTTTAAAATATTATTTAATACACACCACATTTTTCATTTTATGTAATGTTAAATTAACTGTTTTTGACTCTACCGTTTTTTGTACTATATATTGTATTATACTGTTTATTGCATTGTACTGTTTATTGTATTGTATTGTTTATTGTACTGCACAGTGTATTGTACTGTACAGTTTATTGTACTGCACAGTTTGTTGTACTGTACTGTTTATTGTACTGATTAGGTATACTGGGGGGAGGAGTGGAGATGCCGTACAACAATATAATGTCAACAGGGAGGGACAAAATTTAATGAATTAGATGAACTAAGTAGACATGCAATAGTCGGCGAATATATCAATACAATAAAGACGACTTTTCTACTCTTAAGTTTTGATTTTTAACCAGTCTTTTTTCGATTACAAGTTTAGAAGCAAACATTAAAAGAGACGGCTAATTGACAGCTTCTCTTTGAAAGCTTAATTGTCAGCAATCAAAATTGAAAAAGAAAGTCGTCTTCTACGACGACTACTATAGATTAACTAATAGACATAGTTGAACGCCTTCTCGTTTTCCTGGTCCAAGTTAAAGAGAAGTGGCTTAACTTAGTCTTCTCAGTTCAGCTACTAAGAATTTCATTAAATTTGGTCTCAGATTTCTGCTCTGGATTGCCCGCTGGTAGCTGTCCGGTCAAAGCAGGATCATATTTGGAATTCACCTCAAACATTGAGATACTACCTACATATCCTACGGTAGGATTTAACCCTTTATCTATTGGGAGAAGGGGGGGGGGAGGCAATTAAACCAGCTTTTTTATCATGAGAATTGATTAATTCTAACTTTTATTGTTTCTGAAATCCCTCTATAGACCTAAAGCCTCCCGAAAGGGGGCTGATTTATTTGGTGACCTATTTCGTTTCAACTTACACATAGTCTGTATGTGTTCTGTACAGTTTGCTCTAGCTGGTTAAAAGCCGGTCTAGTACTTGTACAGTACGGGCAAAGAAAATGATTACTCTCCTCAAACTCTACTTTTCAAATCCTCTCTTCTCTTTACAATCTGATTCTTTATCGAAACTATATCGAAACTTTGCCTACTAGTATTGCAGAAGTCTTAGTAATATGGAAAAAAATAAAATGTTTATTATTAGAAAAGAGGTAAAAAAAGGTTGTAATTATAAATATATTAAAACATGATTTTTGTTTAGATTCCTGTGACGATAAAGTGGGAAGTAAAGAATGCCGGGAGCGGAAACGCTGTCTGTATTTTGATAAAATCTAAAATTGTTTGAATAAAAATATTCTTCGATAATTAAGAACTGTGTAATTGGTATAAGCACGCTTGATAGCTTGGCAAAAATAAAAATATACATTTAAATTAATGAAGGTACAGGGTTACCCACAAAGAAGGAGACTCCGGAGACGATTGTACGAAATTTAATCAGTTCGGGACAGAATTTCAGGAATTTGAGCTAGGTCGCTGAATCGGTTGAAAGTTACAGATGATTTCAGGATTCTAACCGGCGGAGGTACAGGGTGTCCCAATAAACATGGGAAATAAATATCGTCTTTGATTTTTGATAATTGATAAATGACATTAAGTGCATCAAAAAAAGATTGAACGTCTAATGAGCTTTCCAAAATGTTGTCCATCTTCTTTGTATCTGTCAAATTGACGGAGATATCTGAAACATTTTAACAGTTTCGTTGATTTTTATTATAATTAATTCTTGAGAAAATTCCTGATATCTCCGTCAATTTTGAAGGTGAAAATGGTAGACCACATTTTGGATGATATAAAAGTCGTCATTTAATTCCCATGGGACACCCTGTAGATAATTCACTGGACTCTCTGATTCATTAAATCAGGTTCCCGCTGCTTCAAAAGTTTCTTTCTTTGACAAATCAAAGGTAAAAAGTTTAGAGTCTTATGCATTGATTCGAGGCAGAAGACAAAATTCAACCGTTTTAGATGATTTCTTCTATAGATTGTTAGGTTTTCATAAATGTGTTTTGAACACCCTGTATCATAGTATGAATTGTTACAAAACACCCTGTAACCTGGTATAAGAAGTATTTAAAACGCGCGTTATTTTATTTTATGTTAAAAGTGTATTTAAACACCCTGTATCATGGTATGTAAAGTGCATTTACACACCCTGTATCAGGTATGAAAAATGTATTTAAACACCCTGTGTCATGGTATGGAAAGTTATTTATGTATTGTGCATTCAAACACCTTGTATCATGGTATGTAAAGTGCATTTAAACACCCTGTATCATGGTATGGCAAGTGTATTTAAACACCCTGTATATTCATGGTATGGAAAGTGTATTTAAACACCCTGTATCATGGTATGAAAAGTGTATTTAAACACTCTGTATCATGGTATGGCAAGTGTATTTAAACACCCTTTATCAGGGTATGAAAATTGTATTTAAACACCCTGTGTCATGGTATGGAAAGTTATTTAAACACTCTGTATCATGGTATGGAAGGTGTATTTAAACACCCTGTATCATGGTATGGAAAGTGTATTTAAACACTCTGTATCATGGTATGGAAAGTGTATTTAAACACCCTGTATCATGGTATGGAAAGTGTATTTAAACATACTGTATCATGGTATGGAAAGTGTATTTAAACACTCTGTATCATGGTATGGCAAGTGTATTTAAACACCCTGTATCATGGTATTGAAAGTGTATTTAATCACTCTGTATCATGGTATGGAAAGTGTATTTAAACACCCTGAATCATGGTATGGAAAGTGTATTTAAACACTCTGTATCATGGTATGGAAAATGTATTTAAACACCCTGTACCATGGTTTGGAAAGTGTATTTAAACACCCTGTATCATGGTATGGAAAGTGTATTTAAACACTCTGCATCACGGTATGGCAAGTGTATTTAAACACCCTGTATCATGGTATGAAAAGTGTATCTAAACACCCTATATCAGGGTATGAAAAGTGTATTCAAACACCCTGTATCATTGTCTGAAAAGTGGATCTTAACACCTTGTATCATGGTATGAAAAGTGTATTTAAACACCTTGCATCATGGTTTGAAAAGTGTATCTAAACACCCTGTATCACGGTATAAAAAGTGTGTTTAAGCACCCTGTATCATGGTATGAAAAGTGTATCTAAACACCCTGTATCATGGTATGAAAAGTGGATCTAAACACCCTGTATCATGGTATGAAAAGTGTACCTAAATACCATGTATCATGGTATGAAAAGTGGATCTAAACACCCTGTATCATGGTATGAAAAGTATATCTAAACACCCTGTATCATGGTATAAAAAGTGTATTTATGCACCCTGTATCATGGTATGAAAAGTGTATTTAAACACTCTGTATCATGGTATGAAAAGTGTCTCTAATTAATTACCTCTTTAATACAAGTGTTAAAAATAAAAAAGTTAAGAATTCCCATGAAACTATTAACAGTAAAAAAATCCAATAAAATTATAATTAATAATTCAATTAAGCCGGTAATTAACCACTTAAAATTTAAATGCCATTGTACTCTAAATACGAGTTTTATACTGTTCCATAACTTTAAACTTTAATATTACAAGACATTTCAACGATTCAGGATATAAATGTACATTACTTTTTATTTAGAACGAAATTATCAAAATACTGTATAAAAACATTGCCATGATGTTTATTTTAAGGATGAATATTTGTGCATGCTCTTCCATGCATGATAATATCATGCATGTATTCTTAAGTCATGTAGGTAAAAATTATATATAAATATAACCACGTTAGGCCCGGGCACATTCTTGATAATTATGTTTGCTATTATTATTCCTTATTTAGCGTACTTCCAGCTTTTGTACTGTATGATATTCCACAAACTAGGTACTCTCTAGTGTACTCTATGATAATTCACAAACTAGTTCCTCTTTAGTGTACTCTATGGTATTCTACAAACTAGTTCCTCGCTAGTGTACTCTATGATATTCCACAAACTAGTTACTCTCTAGTGTACTGTATGACATTCCACAAACTAGTTACTCTATAGTGTACTCTATTATATTCCACAAACTAGTTACTCTCTAGTGTACTCTATGGTATTCCACAAACTAGTTACTCTCTAGTGTACTCTATGATATTCCACAAACTAGTTCCTCTCTGGTGTACTCTATGATATTCCACAAACTAGTTACTCTCTAGTGAACTCTATGATATTCCACAAACTAGTTACTCTCTAGTGTACTCTATGGTATTCCACAAACTAGTTACTCTCTAGTGTACTCTATGATATTTCACAAACTAGTTCCTCTATAGTTTACTCTATGATATTTCACAAACTAGTTACTCTCTAGTGTACTCTATGATATTCCACAAACTAGCTACTCTCTAGTGTACTCTATGGTATTCCACAAACTAGTTCCTCTCTAGTGTACTCTATGATAACATTAAGAATAAAGGCCGGCTGTGCGCTGGACTCCAGCGATTTTATTAAGATAAGTATGGTGCCAAGTTTGAATAACAATGAATTATAAAAATGAAAACTTGATTCTAGAAATAGTATTTTAGTTTGATATATCATGTTAACCTTCTTTCTTGATTAAAAACTTAATCTTGCTCCATACCTTTTCTTTATTCTCATTTAAATCTTTTTTTACCTTATCAACTCCCATTCCTTTCCCTTCCTTTCCCTCCCTATGTTTCCTTTCCTTTCCCCTCCTTTCTTTAATTCCGTTCTTTTTTCCCTCCACTTCCTTTCTGTTCTTCCCCTTCCTTTCTCTTGCTCCCCTCACCCCTCTTTCTTTCTTTCCTATTCATTCCTTCCTTCTTTTCCTCCACTTCCTTTCTGTCCTTCCCCTTCCTTTCTCTTACTCCCCTCACCCCTCTTCCTTCCTTTCCTATTCATTCCTTTCTTCATTTCCTCCAATTTTTTTCCGTCCTTCCCCTTCCTTTCTTTTACTCCCCTTCCTTTTTTCTTTCCTCCCCTTACTTTCTTTATTCCCTCTTTCAGTCCTACCTAAATTCCCATGCACCACTCCTATCCACTCTATCCTTCTCTCTTCTCACCAACCATCTCATGTTCCACTTCCCTATGCTTTTCACTTTCTCACCTTTCCCACTCCGTTTTTCTATAATTTTCCACTTCCGTATCCTTTCTCCATGCAACCCACACCACTTCCCTGTCTTTCTCCCTTCTCCACTTTTCCCACTGCACTTCCCTATTCTTTTTTCCTTTTCCACTTTTCCCAATCCGCTTTCCCATCCTTTTCCCCCTTTCCCTATCACACTCCCTACTTCTTTAAACCCACTCCACTTCCCTATCTTTTTCCCCTCTCCATACAACCCACGCCACTTCCCTTTCCTTCTCCATGCAACCCACTCTACTTATCCAACCTTCTCCCTTTTCCATGCACACCACTACAATTCCCTATCCTTCTCCCTTCTCCCTTCTCCATGCATCCCACTCTACTTATCCAACCTTCTCCCTTCTCCATGCAAACCACTACAATTCCCTATCCTTCTCCCTTTTCCATGAAACCCACTCTACTTATCCAACCTTCTCCCTTCTCTATGCAAACCACTACAATTTCCTATCCTTCTCCTTTCTCCATGTATCCCACTCTAATTATCCAACCTTCACCCTTCTCCATGCAAACCACTACAATTCCCTATCCTTCTCCCTTCTCCATGCAACCCACTCTACTTATCCAACCTTCTCTCTTCTCCATGCAAACCACTATACAATTCCCTATCCTTCTCCCTTCTCCATGCATCCCTGTGCTTCATTTCTCCAACCTTTTCCTCTTTTATGTCTCTCCCATCTTCCTCTTTCTCGTGCTTAACCCCTTCCTTCCCCCTTACAGGGACATTTTACCATTTCACGCTAATTATATTACGTAGGATTTATCTTAGAACATTATCGAACATTAACCTGGAAAACAAAGGTGTGTATTTGCGGCATAGTGTCCAAAAAATAGGAATTGAGAATAAAAGACGATGGATAATTTTTGATCTGGATTTTGTTTAATGGATTGGATTGAGAGTTATCGTTATTTCTGAAAAAATTTGATATTGAAAGTTCATAAAGTTTGGATAACATTTCGATCTTGCATATCTGATAGAAATTATATAAAAAATTGGTCGAGATTCATTTAATAGGCAAAATCAAAATTGTCAACATATCTGTCCTGCAGTGTTGCCCACAAAGAATAAGACGGAATTTGTAATGTCTGTTTCCTTATATTGCAGGGTTCCCCGCAATTATAAACTTGTTTCTTTTTTGCCAAATCACTAAATACGCTATTTAAAGACTATATTTTATGT